GCATGCTTACGCAAATCTCCAACCAAGTTTCTCCATTGTCTGAGCAAGTGAACAGTCTAACAGTAAGAATGGATAATGTGGAGGCCAAACGCAGATAACTCTCCTTTAAAGATCTTGACGTTGGATGCGAAAATTAAGCACCTCACGGTTGCCAAGATGAAGTCATCACGAGTTAATCTATGGGTCAGGCCGCGAGAAGTTGGCTCCGTGCACAACTATACCGCTCAAAAAGTAGAAAATGAAGACCAAAGAAAAGCAGAAAGAGACTGCGACGTTACTTCAATGAAACTGTAGGAGTATTAGAAACAAGATAGGGGAGTTACAACTATACGTTGATAAATTATACCAGAAACCAGATATAATAGCGTTACAAGAGACCAACGGCCGAGCCAAGCTCTCGGGGTACATTACGTATACGAACCCTAGCGAAAAGGGTACTGCGATCTTGGTCCGGAACAACGTGGCGGCCACACAGCACGTGACCTCTCAGCGAGGCGGCGAACATACGTTCATCGAAATTCACAGCAGAAGAGTGGGGGTGACAAGAACATTTTCGTCCTGAATGCGTATTGTCGACCGTAGAGCAGGGTCAATGACTTTGAAGGCACCATATTGGACTGCATTACAGAAGCAAGAATAGGACCGATTTTAGTGCTAGGAGATTTCAACGCGTCCCACACGAGGTGGGGTTACAAATATTCGTCCAAAAGAGGAAACAAATCTGTAAAAGCTATAGAGGATCACGACATGGAGGTGGTTAACGAACCGGGTGTGCCGACCAGGACAGGCACTAGCACGGTCAGAGACAGCACTCCTGATCTGACGTTGGTTCGGGTGAACCTCGACGTAACTTGGCATAACACGGGGGAGAATTTTGGCTCAGATCACGACATCATTTGTGTCACCGACATCAAGGCGAAACTGGGTCAAGCCAACATTACAGACTGGGACCGGTTAGGTAGACGCGCATACAGTGAAGGCGAGGACGAGGACCAAGGCACTAAGACGTATGAGGCGTGGGTCAGGAAGCAACGTGAGTTTGTCATGAAATTTACGCAGAAGATTACTGCGACTACGCAAGTTCCCTTCGTGGACAGCAGGATTAGCCACATGTGGGCGGCCAGGCACGGTCTTACTCAAAGATGGAAGAGGCAAAGGCATAACAAGAAGCTTCGCAGACGTATACATGCGCTTAACAAGCAGGCGGCTGAGTATGCGGAGCAGCTATGCATGGAAAATTGGATACAGAAGTGTGAAGACCTACAAGGCCCACTGTCTACGAAGGAGACTTGGAAGCTGGTGCGGCACCTCATAGATTTGTTAAAAAACTAGGGTGCAAGCGCTCGAGACCTCACAAGAACGATCTAGGGTAGAACGATCAACAGTTACGACGGGGACGGAGAGAAGCTTATCCGGGAACTCACCAGTAAATACCTCAAGACGAGGGGGATAGCAACGTCGAGATGGACGAAGCCTTCACCGAACTGGAGCTGGTTGCGGCCATCGGTGAAAGTAATCAAGGCAGCGCACCGGGCATCGACGGCGTTACATACGAGATGCTTAAAAATATGAGTGACAAAAGCCGAGCGGAACTGCTAAACCTCGCCAACGCGTCCTGGGAGAAGGGTTCGTAACCAAAAGAGTGGAAAGAAGTGGATGTGCGTTTCATTCCCAAGCAGGGGTATCCATCCCACGTCGTCAACCCTCGCCCCATTTTCCTGACGTCGTGTGTGGTGAAGGTGGTCGAGCGGATGGTTTTCAAGAGACTACAAAGACATTTGGACGTCACCGATCAGATGCCACCGACCATGTACGGGTTCCGGGGACACCTGAGCACGCAAGATGTTTTGGTGCAACTACACGAACTGGTAATCAAGAAAGCGAAAACTCCTAGCGCCAAGAGCTATCCTGGCGCTCGACCTCAAGGGGGCTTTCGATAACGTCACACATGAAGGTATTTTTCGTAACGTGCGCCAAACGGGGTGCGGAAAGCGAGCATTCAAGTATGTACAGGATTTCTTAAGCAATAGAACGGCAACGATCAAAATTGGAGAAGAGAAGTCGGAGCCGATAGTCCTGGGAGTCTGAGGCACCGCGCCAGGGTCGGTTCTCTCGCCGCTTCTTTTTAACCTGGCACTCCTCCCGCTCCCGGCCCTCGTTCAGGACGTGGTGGGCATAGATCATGCTCTCTATGCAGACGATATCACTGTGTGGACGTGGAGGGCAGGGTCGGAGAGTTGGATAGAGGAGACCCTTCAGAGTGTCGCAGAGACCGTGCACGAGTTCGCTAAATCGTGCGGCCTCAGTTGCTCACCACAGAAGTCGGAGTTACTCGTCATCAAGCCAAGAAAAAAGAAAGGAGAACAAGAAAACGTCCGCATCACCATCGACGGGACGAACATAACGCCAACCACGCAAGCATGTATCCTGGGTGTCATCTTCCAGAACAATGGCAAGGCGGGGGCGTCGATCGACAAGATCGAGGTTTCTACGGAACAAATTTCGAACATGACCAGAAGATTCACGAACAGAAGAAGAGGATTGAAGGAGGACGATGCATTGACGCTCGTTCAGGCCTTTGTGACGTCGCACTTTGTTTACGCGGAGCCGTACCTCAAGTTACTCAAGAAAGACAGGGACCAGTTGAGCGTCATTATACAAAAGGCAACCAAGATGGCGCTGGGCATGCCGAAGCATTCGTCGACCGACAAGGTTCTTGGCATGGCCAAACACAACGTCGTTGAAGAGTTAATAGAAGCTCATCTGTCTAATCAGAAAGTTCGGCTCAGTCAAACTTTGGCGGGACGTCGCGTTCTTGCCAGGTTGGGCTGGCAAGAGGCAGATCGGAAGGAAACGGGGCCGTTACCCAGGTTATGGGAGCATAAATTTGACAGTAAGCCGCTGCCTCGATACATGAAGCGGGGGCGTAACGACGGCCGCAGAGCGGCTCGTATAGCGGCCTTGACAAAGACTTTAGATCAAATAGAAGAAAAGGAAGAGGGGGTCACCCACTACACAGACGCCTCGTTACCCAAGTTTTCATCGAAGGCCACGCTGGCAGTTACGACGCGGGATGCGCTTGTAACCTGCGCCTCCGGCGTCTTTTCTGTATGTGGCAGAAGAGGCCGCAATAGCGCTAGCACTCGCGCAGCCCAAGTGGGAAGAATTGTCACTGACTCGCAAAAGGCGTATAACAGCCTCAGAAAGGGGTGGGTGTCTCTTGCGGCACTAGATATTCTCAAGAGGAAACCCGACGTGCCAGAAAGGAAAGTTGAACTGATATGGACGCCAGCTCACTCTGGGCTGGAGGGCAACGAACTTGCCCACATGTTTGCCCGAGAGATGGAACACCGGGTAGAGGAAGGTGAGCCACAATCTATAATTAGTTATAATGACATTACGAACTACTACAAACGGAGAGGCGACGTTACCCCGATCCTCACAAATTGCTTAGCAGAGAACAGCAAGTTATTTACAGGCAGATACAGGCAGGGTCTTTTCCGCACTTTTACCTTCAAAACAAGATTCTGCAAGAATCAGTTAGGCACGCTCCAACACGTCATTGGAGTATGCGAATTCGTCAAGCCAATCCCCTTACCACTTACCAGCCCCATTACCCCACCCCATCCCTCATCCTCCCTTACCGAGCGTAGAGAGACCTTGCTAACCAGCCCCGTACTGGTAGACCAGCTCGTCCTGATCTCCAGGGGCCAGGCGGCTAGGGAAGCGTATGGGTCCCGTGACGAGGGAACCACTTCCATCGGCGGCGTCTAAGAAGACGTCGTAATTAGCTCGGTTCAATAAAGTTGCTTCTCTCTCTCTCTTTGGTCTCTTTCCACTCTCGCTCCTTCGGCGCTCTCCTTTCTTTCCTTCAGTGTTCTCCTCTCCAGTGACTTCGTCATCATACCTACTGGCCGCACTCTCTTCATTTCCGGCTCTGGATTGACCGCGCCAAACCAGACAGCTTGCGTAGTTTTCGAACACTACTACAATGGGCACCTGGCTTGCGCTGCCATGTCACCGACGAGCCGACATTATTTTTCCCGTTTGCAGCAGTACTGCACCGAGACCAAAAAAAATCCTGATAAAAAAAAAAAAAAAAAAAAAAAAAGCCGCTGAGGCACAGAACGAGTAATTGCCTCCGAAGGCAGCCTAAATTAATTTCCTTCACTTAGAGGTGGAGACAAAGCATGGAAAGGAACGCATTGAATACGGTCAGATTAGAACGGAAGCAGCGTCCCTCACATTGGTGAGGAGATGTTTCGGTGGCGCCCTCTGAAGATTCCTACCCGTGACATCACGACTGGCATCAAGCGGTAATTTGATGGTGTGTGACAAAATGAAAGCGCATTAATTCCTATTGTAGACGTGTACTGAGCGTCTGACTGATCTTTGAAAGAAATGACGGCAACGCTTTTGCTGGGCGCCCTTTGCCACTCGACCGTTCCCGAAAATCTCACAAGGCCTATCGATAATTTTATATTGCACGAGACGGCACGAGGAATTGTACTGCAGTTCAGATGCACTCTCGGATAAGCTTGCATGCTCCGTACATACTGGAAGTGGCTCATTTCCTCCTCTCTCTCACTACTGTGAGTTAAGGACACGAATAAAAACAAAGCCAGCACATGACAAGGAAAATAGATGCGAGCTTTGGTATGGAACCGCCTTTTTGACGCTCTAAAATCGTGAAATATTAAATAAACATAAATGGCTCCATTTATTTCTCTTCCAAGTGCCGCACATATGCTTGCCGTACTGCGTCAAAAAGACACTGAGATTTACATCGTGCCTAACATGAAACATTTTCACGTTGAAATTGTTATAGCCTGCTTTATGACATGAATTTTAGCAGCCTGCAGCTAGTACTGGTCAGGACAACTCTAAAATATAAAACACGCATTTACAGGGCGTTGGTATTGTGTTTGGTATATTTAAAATACGAATACGAGTACCTATTCACCGACGTTTTTCCACAAAAGGCGGACGCTGTCTTTTACCTTGAAAAGAGTATAGTAGTCCTGGAAGGTACTTCTTTTGGTGACGAAAGCGTCATGCACTTGTAACTTGAGCAGTCCGTAATGTCGGATGTTCATGTCCCATAAGTCGTTAAATGTGCTGATACCAGTGACATCGTTTAGGTCGTTGTATGCTTTAAGCACATTGCTGCGAGAAATGACACATATGCATGACCTCCAGTTCAACAATACACGATTCAATTGCCACTTCAAGAGAACCATTCTCAGTTAACAAAATATGCGGATGAAAGTTCTCTCGAAATATACCGCTACTTAATTAAGGCGGTAATTCTCTTCAGTATATCAGCAAAACCTCCCTCAAACATGGCAACTCTAGTATTAGTTTACCATTTATCTAAAGATATAATGCCTTTGACATATACCGCGTGTTTCAGTGAAGGCTTTCAGAAATTCCCTATAATAGAGTGGTTAAGAAAAAAAAAACTCTTTCCGGAAACAATTACTTCCAGCCACAGTGGATGTCAAGGAAGGAAAAAAAACAAAAAAAAAAACTAAGTAGCGTTATCGTTAGCTAAATTGTACAAATGAAATTTTTACTTAGTGGATATAAATATTGTCACGGGTGGTGACCGGTCTGGCGAAGTAGGCAGCGCGCGCGTGGCCAAACGGTTATCGCGCCTGCCTTTCACGCGAAGGGCCGGGGTTCGATTCCTGGGAGCGACGAATCTTTTGTTATTCCTGCAATTTCGTTTTCTGGTGGATTCGGGGTTCCTGTTGCGTGTTCGAGGTACGAATGTTCTACGCGTCGAACATTCTAGGCCGACCATTCCAGGGGCTCACGCATGTACAGTCGGGGGCCCCGCGTGGCGAGCCGGAGCCAGTCTCGCCCCAGCGCTCGATCCTGCGGTTTCGCCGACATCGACGCCCGCGACGCCCTCCTGCTTTCTTCTGTTTCCTTCTGCTTTTATTAACTTGGGCGCAAGTTCGCCCGATTAAACGTTTAGTTACTTTAGTTGTCGTCGCCTCATCACTTGTCATTCGTGATATTTGTCATTCGTGACCAAAATGTCCCGAACGACAATTGATAAGGCGAACGTACGTGTCAGCTTGTTCTTGCAAAGCTCCCATGAAGTCAAGGAAGCTTCGTGGTTTTCGAACCAGCACCTTGCAGTTCCTTCAAGCGAGAAATAGAGGTTCTGCAGGCGCTGTTCGTCACTCCACCCGTTGTAGCGAGCCACGCGCTCGTACTGGTTGATCCAGTCTTCGACGTCCTCTTAGATCTAGCCGAGGAAGGGAGTAGGCATCCGCGGAGCGACTGGCAGGACGAACGACGACGGGTGGGGTGGTCATCGTAGGGATGTTCTTCTTCGGCTTTGGCAGCAGGAGTCCGGATCGCGGGAGTTAGACTTTGGTACGGCGGCTTAATTAAGCGTCGGCGTCTTCTGCGAAGGGTAGCCTTCAGGGGCTGAGCACCTCACTTGGCCGGGATGTCTTCGGAGGGGTACGCCTCACGGGCATAGAATGCGATACCCATGCACCACCTCCCGGGAGTTACGCGTCCTTTTGTCCATTCTTGCAGTTCAATGTTCTGGTGAATTATAGAACTCTGTCGCCTGCTCGAGGTGCGTATGTTCTAGTCGCCGAACCTTCCAGGTCAATTGTTCCAGAAGCCAGCGCGTGTACATAGAGGGCTCCACGTGGCGATCTGCAGTCAGTCTCACCCCAGCGCTCGAACCTGCTGTTACGCCGACTTCGACGCCCGTGACGCTTTTTCCCTCATCTTCTGTTTTTCCTTTTTGTTTTGGGCACAAGTTCGCCTCATTAAACGCTTAGTTTCTTCAGTTATTCTTCGCCTCATCATTCGTTGTCACGAATGATAAATTATGAGGCGAAGAATAACTGAAGAAACTAAACGTTTAATACGACCGCAAGACATTCTTTTTTAGTCGTGGAGTAATTTCTCTCTGATTTGGACAGCGTCCGACTTGCGTAGGTGATGGCTAGCTCGGTGCCCTCTTGCACTTCAACTAGTACAGCTCCAAGTACTGCATTACTAGCGTCCGTGTGAATCTCGGTTTCAGCATCCTGATCAAAGTGCCCAAGGAAAGGAGGAGTCTGGAGCCTTCGTTTCAGCTCGTCGAATGCCTGCTGCTGCTCCTCGGCCTATTCGAACTTCTCGGCGTCCTTCGTGAGTTTTATGAGCGGTGCGGAAATCCTTGCGAAATCCCGAACGAAGTGTCGATAGTAGGCACAAAGTCCAAGGAATCTTTGAACGGTTTTCTTGTCTGTCGGCACTGGAAATGCCGAGACGGCGCGAGTCTTCTCAGGGTCTGGGCGGACGCCTTCGTCACTAACCACGTGGCCTAGGAACTTCAGTTCGTTATAGATGAACCGACACTTTGACGGCTTCAGGGTGAGTCCGGCGGTCAGGATGGCTTCGAGAACAGCTCGGAGTCGTTGCAAATGCTCGTCTAGGTCGCTGGAAAACACTACGACGTCGTCGAGGTAGACGAGACAGCTCTGCCACTTCAGTCCTGCCACCACTGTGTCCATGACACGCTGGAAAGTTGCTGGCGCCGTGCATAGTCCGAAGGGCATCACCTTCGGTCGTTTTCGGCAACGTCACCTCCGGGCGTTGCCGCACTTAGTTTTCCCGGCGAGGAATGGGAGACAGGCTGTCTCGGCGGGGCCCTGGTGCTGGGGACGCGGAACGTCGCGGCGATGGGGAGTGGGCTTCACGGCAGAGAGGCGGCACTGGTGAGGGTGAGGGTCGGAGGTACACGTCGATATCGCGAGGGCGTTCGCCGTACCTCGGGCGTGGGTCGTTCGGGTGGAAACCACGCAGCCCAAGACGACGGTAGGGGCAGTCGCGGTAGATGTGGTCGGCTTCCCCGCAATGGTAGCAGAGCGGGCGTCGTTTGGCCGTTCGCCGCCACACGTTGGTCTTCCTCGGCGAGGTTCGCCCCGGGCGGACGTCCTGGACTTGTTCTTGGCGTCGAGGGTTTTGCGGCGTTGGATTGTCTCGTCGAGATGACGCCTAGTATTGATGGGCAACAGGCGGCGGTCGGCGGGCTACGGCGGCGTAGCTCAGTGTCACCTCCTTTTGCGCCACCATGGTGCCGGGAACCTTTGGCCAGAGTGTCCGGTGAATTTCTTCACGAACAGCCTCAGTGATGGAGAGGGCTGCCGGACGACTGGCCGCAGGTAGCAACTTCTGGAGCTCCTCCCGGACGACGTCGAGGGTAACCTCACGGACGTCCCAAGTACGGGCGCCGATTTCCTCGTTAAGCAGCGTGGAGGCAACGAAGCCGGGATGTCGTTGATAGTAGGAGGCGCGTGCTTGGAGGGCGCGCTCCATGTTCTTTGCCTCCGTGACAAACGATTCCACGGTGGTCGGAGGGTTGTGGACGAGGCCCCCAAAGATGTCGTCCCTCACCCCGCGCATGAGGACACGCAGCTTCTTGTCGTCGCGGGCTTGTGGGTCGGCGCGCGCGCTCAGACGCAGGACGTCTTGAACGAAGCTGGTGACGATTTCGGTGGAGCCTTGCGTCCTCGTCCGAAGGAGGTCCTCGGCTGTCTCCCTTTGTTGCTGACTGGCAAAAGTCCCTCGGATTTCTCCTTTGAGCTGGTCCCATGACGTAATCCAAGTTTCACGATTCTCGAACCAGTCTCGCGCCGTGCCCTCGAGGGAAAAATAGACGTTTTGCAGACGCTGTTCCGGAGCCCATTGGTTGTGCAGCGCCACCCGTTCGTATTGCTGCAACCAATCTTCGACGCCTTCGTAGATCTCGCCGTGGAAGGACGTCGGCATACTAGGGGCGACGGGCAGGTAAACGACGGGGGGTGCTGCTGTGGTCTGCGCCGTCGATGAAGCCATCGTCCTTATCGCTTGCCTTGTCCTCGCCGGGAGTGGTCCGAGTTCAGGAGCTTGCCCTTGAAGACGGCGGCTGGCACGATGCTCCGAGTCTTCAACGGAGGGTCGTCGGGAAAGGGGGCTTGCTGAACGGGTTCTTGCAGGGGTACGCTGCACGGGTTTCATACACCGCACCTCCACCAAAATGTCACGGGTGGTGACAAAAAAAAACAATAAATTAACAGGAAGGAATAAACGTTTAGTGTGGCGAACGTGTGCCCAAAATAAAAGGTACAAAATATTTTAACAGAGCGTTGCGGGCGTCGAAGTCGGCGTATCAGCAGGTTCGAGCGCTGGGGCGAGACTGACTGCAGATCGCCACGCGGAGCCCCTTGTGTACACGCGTTGGCTTCTGGAACAATCGGCCTGGAAGGTTCGGCGACTATACTTCGTTTCAGCTTAGGTCCGAGCGCTGCCAATGTTATGAGCCGAAGGGCCAATCAAACAGCGCAAAAAGCGCAACGTCATGGCGTGCTCTCCGCGCTTGATAGGACTAGCCGGCGGAGGAGCACGCACAGAGAGACTGCGAATACCGGCTGGTCCTATCAACTGCAGAGAGCACGCCATGACGTTGTGCCTCTTTCGCTGTTTGATTGGCCCTTCGGCTCATAACATCGGCCGCGCTCGGACTTAAGCTGAAACAAAGTATAGAACATTCGCACCTCGAACAAGCCCGACAGAGTTCTCGAATTCACCAGAACATTAGACTGCAAGAATAAACAAAAAGACGCGTAACTCCCGGGCATCGAACCCTGGCTCTTCGCGTGGGAGGCAAGCGCGATAACCGTTGGGCCACGGCCGCGCTGCCTACTCGGCGAGCGGCAATATGGTTTCCGATAGAATCTTGCAAGCTTCTTCGAAAATAGCTGAATCAAATCGTTTAGGAAAGGTATAGTAAGGCACAGGCAGAACTTTATAGCGTTTTAAAATGTCACGCTTAATTTGGACGCATATCTAAGTTTCCGTTTATTCTTGGAGCTCATCTTTGTGCCCGGGGTCCTGATCCACGGTGGCCGAGACGTGAAACGCACGTGAGCCATACTCCCCTCCGATTCGCGAGTGAGGAGAGGCGGCGGATTCGCGCCTCGGACATCGAGGAACAGGACCGCGGGCGCAAAGATACGCTCCGGTAAAAAATAAAACTCTAAAAACACGTCCAGTTGTTTTTTTTTCGAACGTTATGAAATTTTTTATTGCCTTTTTAAAATTAGTTGATTTAACGGTGTTCGATGATGCTTAGCAGCTTCATTATTAAAACCATGTTAATTTTTACTAACTAAATAGGTTAATTTGTAATATTTATTTGTCTCGCTAATTAGTATGTTTTTGGCAATTCTTGAAGCCTGCCGCGGCTGACAAAGTGTTCCCAGAACGAGATTCTTTTTTGCTCAACAACTCTATCTTTATGGGATTTTTGAAAACCTTCGCTGAAACACCCGGTACAAGAACTTCAAGGAAAAAATTAAAAAAGACACTTAACACTGCTTATCGCTAGAAATATGAACGCGGATTCCTACAAGCAGCGCGCTGTGTCTTCCTAACGCACACGGCGCTCCGGCGGTGACGTCACGACCCCCACTGCGCAGGCGCGGGGAATTCCGCCGGCTCCACGCCTCCCGTGACGATGCATCTACGTTGCTGTCCTTTTCTTTGTGTTTTATTTCTGAGGGGCGTCCGCTTTGACCTTGAGGGCACCGCCGACTTCCGTGACGAGGCATCTGCGCCCCTGTGCTTTTGGCCAGTGGGAATTTAATGGACGTTTCGATGCTACAGACGCTTACAGAGAATGCCGGCTTCACACCATGGGAAAGCTAATGCGTTATACAGGCTGTACAGGGTGTTTCAGAGAACGCAGGCCAAATCGCTCCTGCGAAAACTACTCATCACAACGAAAGAAGGCTAGTGGTGGTTTGGTCCTGGGCCAGGGGCCCATTTAGGAAAATGATTAAAGTACGGAATAATTGAGTTGTTACTTATTTTTGCGTAATTAACTTTCTTAAATATCGGAGCGCATCTCACTCTCGGCGGCACAATGCCACGTGGAGAGATAGATCAACCAGCCTCTGCTGCGTCGCGCGATGACAGCGGAGCGGAGGTTGGTTGCAATAGGGAGTTTTCGTAGACCGCGTTGCCCCCTCCGCTAAGCGTTCCGCAACGAAGAAGTTGCTACTGCGCCTGCGCGCCGATAGCCTTGACTGTGGAGTTCCCGCTATCGTAGCGGATTGCGGAGGGCCTTGCGGGACGGCGAAAACGATCTACGAAAACTCCCTACTATCTCTCCACGGGCACGGCCGGTCTAGAGCGGAGAGGCGCGCCTCTCCGCTCTAGACCGGCCGTGCCACGGGGCGCGGTGCCACCGGGGCTGAGATGCGCTCCGATAGCAAACCGAAACTTACAAACCCGTCGATTTTGTGCGGTGTTTCAGAAAGCCGTAAAATGCTTCGCGTGCCTTCTATCGTTCTGCTATTTTTTGATTTAGTGTTTTTCGATGATGCTGAGCAATTGCTTAACTTAAACCATGCCCTTAAACACAATATTAAAAAGTTAATTACGCAAAAATAATTAACAACCTAATTATCCCGGACTTTAATCATTTTCCTAAATGGGCCCCTGGCCCAGGACCAAAACGCCAAAAGCCTTTTTCGCTGCAATGAGTAGTTTTCTCAAGAGCGATTTGGCCTGCGTTCTTTTAAACACCCTGTATGTTGTAGCACTTTTTTGACACTCAGAGAGCCTGTTCAGGCTTTAAAATCGGATTACATTGAAATGTATGGATTTATTTGTCACCACGAAATGCGCTCGTGCATGAGTTCTGCACGACGCGAATGTTTCATTTTTGAGCTTAAAGGGCCATTGACAACCCCAATATTGATATTTTTGTCTCAAACGGTTCAGACGCGCCTCACTAACAATTTTTCACACCGACAAGGTGAGGCGCGGGGGAAGGATGTGAGGGTTTGGAGTTCATTTCAACGGGTTCCAGACTTTACACCACCTCAGATAAATTTAGCGATTTCTACAATTGGCAGCAAAGCGTTTAAATACAAACTACTATTAAAACAAACTTACCTGCCGCAGAACCCACATTGGTTGTACCACCTGAGCAGCTCTCCCTTCCTCCACTGAGGACCTGGCGTCAACACGCCGGATCGCAGGAGCCTCGCGCTTTGGTGGCGTGATGCGTGCGCCGGGGAGAAATCTCCGGTACTTATTTATGGTATGAATACTGCTTTAAGAAACTTCAGAGTTTTATCTGGCTTGAGTTGCAAAAGTTAACGCCCCTGGGATCTCTTCGTGTTCTTTGGAATAGTTTACTCCTTAATCTTAAAAATAGATCTCAGGCTTTGCACGTTTTGAACAACACAATTTCTAGAAACTAAAAAAAGAAAGTTTCTTTGTCCTTTGGTGTGAAATTTCATTGACGATGTGACAATTACCACACATCATCTCAACCTTGGGTTGAGATGATGTTTGGTTTCCACTCTTCTTAGAAACAACAGGTCAAAGCACCGTTGGCCAGAAACCCCGTGAATGTGCCTGCAGCCACAATCGAGGGGTATCCGCGTCGAGCAAGAATAGTACCCGTGGTCAATTCCTATTCCGAATTGGGTGGCTCCGCTGTCGTTCCGGGCAAATTCCAGAAACCACTGCCACCCGGCTGAGCTGCGGTTGAGAAAGGTGCCCCTCCCAGAGTTGTAGAAGTAGTCCCAGAAAATTATGTCGCAGAGGCCTTCCTGGGGCCCCCCTTGATAGTTCCTCCGGACAATTCCAAAAGTACACAAAATCGTCTTCTTCGGCAGTGCGCCTGCAAAAGCAAATGCCATATTATGAACCGAAAGGAACGAGTGGGTCCTTCTTTTTTTTTTAATCCAGGAGAGGCAGAACGCCAGAAAACCGTTTCATGTGAACCAAACTGTGTAGTTCTAGGGGCCTAAATGACCCTAGGTGTCAGTTATTGTCAAGGTACTTTTCCATGGCTCTTGCCCGGTTCGTCTCACAATTGCCAAAGTGCCAGCTATAAGCCAAAGATGCCGCGTATTAACCGAACAGGCAGCAGTGAAGCCTGATTCAGTGTTTGACATTTTACGCTTAAAGTTGAAAGGTAAAAACAGGACAACCAGAAGTGAAGCCTAATTCTGCTATTTCCTTCAGAACAGCGGCCCAAAGAGTCTAGGCGACTACCGAAAAACGTAGTAAAGCCTGCCAGTGGTACTTGCTTGGCAACTAAAGGCCAGAAAACTCAAACTCTAGCAAAATAATTATCAAGCTTAGTAATACTGTCACAAATTACAGTTGATGAGGCGACGAAAAGGGAAACAAACTAAACGTTTAATGGGGAGAACTTGTGCCCAAAACAAAATAGAGAAAGGCTAGCTTCGCAGCAATCGATGATGGCCTAACAGTAGGGTCAAGCGCTGTGGCGAGACTGATTCTGGCTTGCCACGCGGAGCCCCTTATGTACAGTCGTGAGCTTCTGGAACAATCGGCGAAGAATGTTCGGCGCGTAGAACATTCGAACCTCGAACAAGAAACAAGGTTCTCGAATTTACCACAACCTGACATTTACAAAAATACCAAAAAGTTGGGTGCGCTCCCAGGCATCCAACCGGGGGAATCCGCGCGGCAGCCAAGCACGGTTCTCATTCGGCACCGCACGCACTCGCTCGGCGACGCGCCTTGGCATTACTGCTCCCTTTTAAAAGCGTATCGTCTCGATGCAACGTGCCAGGGGACAAAACAACAATCTCCGCCAAGTCACGCTCACCACTAGGTACGTCCATGAGAAAGCCATACTGCCGCGAAATGACGCTGCTTCTTATGAACTCGTGCCGTGACGGCATTCCAATGGAGGTCCACAGACCGCCACAAGACGCAATTTTGAAATCTGTTCATCCGTTTTGAAATTAGGTTTTATTACTTCCCTGCCGGCGGCCCAGAAACACTAGTCTAGGCTAGTGTTTACGGGTGGCCGGCTCAACAGGGACCATATCGAAACAAAGAAATAAACGTGCAAACTACATCTTTCCGTTGTCAGTTCCAGGAAGACCTAAAAACGAAAGATCATGTGAAGCGTGGGTTTCCGCTGAAATTCCCCCCTCGTGAGCACAGACAAAGCTGGTGATACGAAAACGCGGAAAATAAGAATATCATGTGTGTCTGTGTATGCCACAAAATATTTCCGAGTATTTTCTAATCGCCAAGAATTTTCTGCAATACCATGTAATGTCCCTGAGTCAAAATGACCTGGCATGTTTTTATAGCATCTTGGCTCAGTTGAGAATTTGGGTTTCTCTTATTGCTATAAGCTTTTCTTATATGCAACATTTTCCAGTTTTTAGGAGTTTTAGTGTAGATTCAACACATGTGAATGAATTGCCGCAACTGCAGTTGCCGTCAAAGATCTGTTCAACGTCACAGTCCCAGCAGCGTGAACGGCAGTTGAACGTGACACGTTGAACTGTCACGTCGGCCGGAACGATTTTCAGGGCAGCTCTCAAAACCTTGGCGGGGAGCGCAAGTTTGTCTCCTTTTGCAGTGGTTGTTGTAACGCCAGAACGCCGAGCTCTGATTGGTTCTGAATGAAGGATAGTGGGTAGCCCTCAAGGCAGCTTGCTTTGAGGCCTACCCACTTTCCCCCAATCAGAGCCAAACAGAGCTCGGCGTCTTTCTGACGTCACCGGACCACTGCGCAAAAAGCAGACGAATTGCTCTCCGCATACTCCCCTTTCGAAGGACTGCCGTCAGTAGGCAGCCATTAAATCCATGCACAATGGCGGACCAAAACCACAACATCACGATACATTTGATGCGCTTGGTCGGATTAAACTTCAAAACAGAGCCACAGAACAAGGTGATTATCGCAGTGACATTGCACTTTCGACGCTGTTTGATTGGCTCGTCGGCTGCTGTCGTTTACTGCGCTCCGACGATCGCTATTTTATGGAATAACTTGAACGTTCCACGATATCAGTCGTCCCGCCATTGTGCAGATGTTACGACTAAAGTCACTGAGTGTTCTCAGAGTACCAAAACTTCCAAGCTTCGCTTCAGAACCGAGTCGCGGCGCAGCAGTCGTGATCCCCAACATGGCGCTGCCCTGTGCGATGGAAGCAAAGCGCGTACAATGTAGAGTTCTTTGTCGTGTGAGCTCTTCAATACATGTTCCTGTGGCGACACTGGTTTGTTTTTACTGAAGTTATTTCATTTATTCCCAGCGGTGAGTGACTTGCTCCTCGCAATCTCGTCTTTCTCTCTCTTGCCTCGAAACACATCGAGGTCGAATGGTAGGCTTAGCGTCTGAGACGTAGTTTGAAACGCAGCACAAGCGCAACCGGAGCTAGCGAACTAGCCGGCAACCTTCTTTGACTAACCAGATTAGCAACTACTTGATACAAAAAATATCGGAAAAATTAACGCACCTTCCGTTTGGTTTTCACTCACGGACAGCCCAGAAGTACCACCCGTGTGTACCCACTACGGAAGCATTTTAGAGACGCTTTTTGTTGTTCAGGGCCTATCTCCACAATGGCCGGCTGATAAGTTCCGCCACGGTTTAAACAAGCCAATAATAACTGAATTCTGTGGGCACTACCTTCTGGTAAACGGAATGAATGGAATTTGGTACACTGGGAAGATTCAGTGACTCAAGTTGCGACCATCCAATGGTTGGCACGTGGATTTCCAAAGCCCTGGGTGTATAGCTGTCCGTACAGCACCGCCATTCGGTATTTACAGTTTCACATTACAACGGATCTTAGAGAGCCACAGGAACCGTCAAAATCAAATATATGCCGCCTCAGAGCCACATGACTGTTGGTAGGGATCAGGGGGTTGGAACGAAATGTTTTTCTTTCCGTTTTCATTTTCGTTCCATACAAAAAAGTTCCGTTCCGTTTCCGCTCCGGAACGAAAAAATAATGCTCCGTAACGGTTCGTAACGGTTTCTTTCTATGAAAAAAATCGCAACAAAAATTAAAAAGAACGTAACGTTTATTCTTACACAAAAATAGATAATTCAGGCGCTCTAGAGGAATCCGCGGAAACGACATTGCTTTTGAGATCATGTTCATTAGGGAGTTTTAGAATAACGTACGCAATTTTAGCGCACGCTAGCGCAAAATTTAGCGCTTGTATTTAGCGCACGCGACGCAGGAGAGTTTTAGAATAGCGTTTCTCCGCCGCGACGCAAAAGCCCAAGCATCTCGCGCTTGCGACGCCACCAAGATACAGTAAACATTTTTATTTCACACACGAAATGATGTAACTTTAGAAGAAAACGAGTTTTTTGGTCCAGAGTAGCATTTTAATTTGTTTAAACATGAGAACACGACGCGAGCGGTTGACCGGTCGCGTCCGCTTGCGTCGCCTCGGCAAGAGAGGTCTCGTGTACTGACCTTGGCACATCGTTCCTTCGCCGTGAAATGTTCGCGCGTCGCAAGCATCAAGTTGCCGGTGACCGCTGCCAAACCGAGTACAATGTCGTCCCGTATTGAAAATTGCAGTCGCGAGGATGCCGCCGACGTTGCACTCACAACGTCGCCAAAGCAGCCGCCGACATAATCCTGGAAGCCGCCATTTTTTTTAACTGTGCTCGTCTTGGCTTTAGCCAACTTCCCATCACGAATCCTCCTTGGAGAAGCGCAAAGACTCTTTGCGTACGCACGCTATTTCCGAGAAATAGCGCGCGCTAAAATTGCGCACGCAAAGCGCAAAACCTGGTTTGCGTTCGGAGCATGCGCAGTGGCGACGACGCTATTCTTTGCGTACGCAAAGCTTTAGCGTGCGCTATTCTAAAACTCCCTATTGCCTTGAGAATGAGATCATGATCAAGGCACCGAGCATGATCTCAGAAGCAGCACGTCATCAAGTGTGCTCGGTGGAAGGCAAGACCTCTGGTCCGATAAAATAAATTTCAGCGCCGAGAAGGCCCTGAAGGCCCATAGGGATGACGAAGTACACTTTTGCAACAGAGTCTCAGACTGCCGTATCCGTAGAAATACAAAAGATGGACTTCTACAACGCCGGGTCACAAACTTCCCGCGCTTGCCGTGATCTGTTGTCTGTCCGTGTCGTCCGAAGAAAGCATGGAGGGAGAGGGCGCAAGAGCCGAGGAGAGCATTGCGAGCGTGTGGAGGCGTCGCGCCACCGCGCTCTCGTTGGTGGGAAGCAATGGCGCTTGCGTCATGTTTTTTGTTTCTCGCTGTATTTTTTGTCTTTGTTTTTGCTATGCTTGTTCGCCCGGAGTTTAGACGCGGGGGCGATGGCTTGCTTGTCTTCTCTTTAATTATGGTACAAACCAACGGCTGTCTCTTCGCTGCGTGAAACGAATTACTGAAATACCTGATATTTTCCCTTGAACCGAAAACCGATAAGAAATTTTTCGGTTTCACTCCGGAACAAAATAATAAATAACGTTTCGATTACGTTTCCGTTCCGCCCAAAAATATCGTTTTTTTCGTTTTTCGTTTTTGGTTTTCGTTTCGTTCCGATACCCTGGTAGGGATGCAGCGATGCTCAGGGACGTCTAGTCACGTGAATTGACCACAATGCTCGATCGGCAGGTTTGTAGCGCCTGCTGCGCTCCCCCATACGCTGGAGTATGGAAGGCGTCATGGCACTCTCCAGTGGTATGCCGAACTTAAGCGGCATTGCTGCTAATGATTGAAAACATTGCACGTTTGGAGGCATGCCAGTTGCTCAAAGATAGCCACTAACCCAGAAAAGCAGAGAATGTCTCTGATACTTACAAAGTGGTGTCGTTGTTGTACTCGTTTTGACTGTTGTTGGTGTTGTGGACTTTGCCGTGGTTGTTGTCGTTGACTTTCCCGTTATCGATGTTGTAGTATTTTTTATTGTATTATTTGCCATCGTTGTTGTTGCAGTATTTTTTATGTTCGTATTCTTTCTCTCCGTGGTAGTCTTTCCCGCTGTAGTCGTGCTCGCCGTTGCCGTTGAAGTTGTTATCAGTGGTCTAGATAGATGGCCTTCCGATTCAAAGGAGGTTCTCTTAGTCGTGCTGTCGACTTCTGCAGTGTCTGTCACACGGTGGAGTTTGTAAATAACATATTACTACACTGAAGGCTGCCATAGCGTCCAACTTGCAGGAGTCATTTGCTACATGTTAAACAAAACTTACGAGAAAGGTGGTATTGTTTGGACGTTCTTTATATTCAAAAAAAAAATCATCACTAAGTAACACCCATAGACAAGGCCGAGATACCGATTAAAGTGATAAAAACAGTTTAGGAAATACAACGAATTCAGGTATTTTCAGAATGATGTTGTGAACCCCGTTTTTATCGCCGCATGCACTCTGGCGGTTCAGGAGCGTGTGCAAAGTGGTTGCCAACGGGGTTGCTTAGAGTCCAATAAAATTTCACGGGCGTTTAATGATGAAAGCGAACGGATCCGCTTGGCGGTTGACGGTTGAGACGCCACTGTGAATGCAGCCTAAATGAGTAGTCCCGTTTAAGCGGCTTTTGAGAAGCACTGCAAGTAAACATTGGAAAAAAGACCCAAGACGTATGTTTCAATCATAGGCTAAGACACACACGGGCCATTTCAGCGATCATTGAGCCAACGATTGTTAGCATCTCACAACTGTCATTGAGCTCAATTAAGTTGTCCGGTGTTGCACGGTGCATACACTCTAAACAAATGCTGTAACTATTACACCCTTTGTCACATATAATACTCCCTAAAATTTCAGTTTGACGCAGAGCCGACTGACGTCAAAACAACGGCCCCAACTTTTACGAGAGGCTTGATGACGGTGCGATATAACGTATTGAACAGTTAAAATACTTTATTATGCCACAGACTTAAAAAGAAGAAAAAAACGAAAGTATCGCAGCAGGGCCACGAAAACCCCGATTGCTTTCTGTGCAATCAGTTACACGAACATTACCTATTACATTAAGTTGTACTGCTGGGCTATTGAGCCTGTCATGAAGGTTGGTACCCCTTGTTCAACGTCAGTGCGCTGTACGTTGAACTGAAGTTTCGAAGTGTAATATGTAACATGGGGTGTAAGAATACACCCATTTGTTTTAGTGTGTAGGCCTAAAAACTACAACTTTAAATCCCAGTTGAAACCGAAGCAAACTGGAAACTGATGGCACATTAATTTTTTTTTTAAATTTGATGCAAATTAATTATATAGAAATATCTAATTTATTTTAAACGTTTAACCCGAAATTTATTATATTTTATTCTTTTTGAAGTACAGAAGCAATATACAGAAACCTTTTTGCACGAATTCAAGCGAAGAAAAATAACGAAAGTAGTATCGGCGCCGATATCGAAATGGCCGCGCAGGAGAGAAGGAAAGAAAGAGAACGATTCGCAGCATGCACGGCGTGGTTGGTGGTGGGCAACGTTCATAAAACCACTCACTTGGGAAACTGCCATAGAGCCTGCTCTGAAAAAGTGGCACCGACCCCTACGCGAGAACCGAGCTAATGGCGATCGCAACGCCGCCATTTCTCCCGCAGTGGCCACTCGAGGAACTGCATGTGACATCTATTTTGGCTTTAATCGGCCATTTTTGCGCCGAAACAGATACGGTGGAAGGGCTTTCAGGGGTGCCACCCCCGTCTCCCAAGCGGACGCGCCGCGAATTACTACCGAAGTTAGGACGCGCCCAGGTCGGGACGCGCTATCTGATATCACCAGTGAGACATGGTTGTATAAAAAAATATTAATTGTGCCGCAAAACCTTGAAAACTAAAGATTATAGAAAACATCACGCGCCCGTCATTTTGCACTAAACTCTAATAAAATTTACAACAAAAAGATTTTTTTTCGTCTGTTTTTACGCAAAAACATGCTCTCTAAAAGCTCAAAGACCACAGTAATGACAAAAGATAAAGAGTGGCGCTGTTGTCGAATTTAGCTCGGTCTCGGTGGACGCCAAGGGCCCAGGTTTCCACGGTGAGTTTCCCAACTGACTGTTCTGGTAACGTTGGTGGTGGGCTTAATAAAGACGCATATGTTGGTAAACTGCACGTGGATCTGTGGTGGATCTCGTAGTTTTGGAGAAACAACTTTTAGTTATTCTAATTTTGAGGAAACGTAAGGGTATTCTAGTTTTCAAGCATCAAATAAATTAGCAACTTTATTCTCTACGAGGCAAAGTGCACATTCTTGAGATATAATTTGTTGTTGAGAAAGATGATCTCTCTTTCAAGCTCATTGATTGAGATTCGCTTTGTCACGTCATGTGATCGTGCACAGTTGCATGCCTTTGGCTTTGTTTACATCGACCAGATCACCGTCCCAGCTAGTCTTTTTTGCTATGTGAGACTCAGAGGCTGGTTGACGCATATCAGGAGTACCTTATATTCGATAAGAATATAGTGAAACGCTGTGTCAGTAAGATTTCATTTTAATATTTTTTTTTATTTACGCACATAAACTCGAGCTTGTGCAACCTAACAAGGACCTCCACATTGGCCTGCTTCCAGTACGAGCACGCTGCCTTTATTAGGCTGAGCTGCAAAGGCAAGCCGGTAGACATAAACGGTACTCGCACCGCTCGAGCGCAATGCAGCCTGGGCGCTCGCTCCAAATTCATGCGATTAATCGTACTGATGTCAAGACAGCTGAAAGGCGTTTCCGTCGTTCTTATATCTTCCTTCCAACTGATGAATGATCTAGATTTTTTAAAGCCTTCAGCAAGCTTCAGTCATGTGCTCAAACCCGTTAGGGCTTTAAAGCAGGCGGAAATCAAAACAGTGAACTTAATTTTGTTTTATGTGCACTGATGCTTTCTAGACTCCCTCAAATTTGTTTTATCCCTTATTTATGCATCTTTTCAATCAATGGTTAACCCCCCAGCTTTGTTTGGCTAGGAACAAGTGATCAGTGTAACCATACAGCCACTGTAACAACAAAGCGCATTCATCACACCCACTAGGCACAACTTCCACATAACATTTAGCACTTCTGGGGCCGAGCAATGTTAATATTAGAGAACAACAAATAAAAACAGTGATTCTATTGGAGCATTTTTAAACGGATATGTCAATTTTATCCCTGTAGCATTTTACTTAACCCGAGGCATCATGCAGGAGTGTTTTCACAGTAACACTATACATACATGTCTGCATGGCATCCGAAAATGGATATGATGACTAGTGCCTCGTATTCTTTAGGTAACTTCGTTTTTTTATTGGCAGGTCCACTTGAAAGGTGCGAACGCAACCGTGTTCCGGTTACTGTATTCAAAAGAAATTCCGAGGCACAAGAGGACATACGAGACCAGGACCAGGCATACAAGAGAAGGCCCCCATCAACCAGATATTATCACGTGAGAATGCTATTTACAATTTCATGTTTCCGACAAATCCGGCACAGCCAGTACTTGGATGCTAGGATTGGTGCTTCAAAGATTCAACCGGCGCAGGATGTTGGTCCCGTTCATCTGGATTCCCGTTGGTAAATTGAATGCGCCAAAGATATCTTCAGAATTTTCAGTGCATTGACGAGCCTAGCTCATTGTTCCTAATGCATAGTACCCTCATGTGGTTGGCTATCTTTCTGCTACTTTAATTCGTGAACCGCAATTTGATGATTTAGTGTGCCCGATAAGAGGTTACTTGCTAGTTGACGTACAGCTGGCTTAAAACTACGTAGGACTTGGTTTATTCTGAGGATTTCTTTTGTATAGTACTGTAACACCCCAGTAAATGTGATTTTATCACTTGATAAAATTATTTTGATTAGTTCTAATCCTAAAAAAATAACTAACGTATTTCAAAACATTTTTTAATTGGTGCTTTAATATTGTCCTTTATTAGTAATTGGGGTGTTAGAGATCTTGCCATTTGCCACTAATTCCTTTGCTTGCCATTAAAGATATCTGGGCAATCGACAATCGATGGCTTTGTGAGTGTAACATGATGCAGAGTCAGTAAATCGATATAAAACGATAATAATATTTATCATCCCGTGCATTACCTGCGTCTGCATTGTAACACTGGAGCATGAAGACGAACAACGCGGCTTCCAAGCTGTGTTCAGAGTTTGATTTCTGCTGTCTTTCCCTCGCCTCCAGGCCAGAGTTATTATGTCTTTTCTCAACCAGCTTGTTTGGATACTCGCTTTGACTGTGTACTACTACTTCTTGAATCAAAATGCGTACTTTACCTGAATTTCAAACTCACTTTCTCTTAAAAGTGACCGTTTAAGTTTCTACTGAAGTCCCACGATCGGCGAAAATGAAGCAGAAGAACCTGTAACACAGAGGTCTTATAACACAGCAGGCAGTCTCCTCTGAAGGTCCAGCTTTCCTTCACTTCACTTGAGGTCATTTAGTAAAACATGGGAATCTCCTTTGCTGGATGTCACAATAATTTCTGTATACTTTAGAGCACTTGCATGTTGCACAAGAAATGCAATTTCGATCCACGGACAGTGCCGGAGAGGGATCGAGAACGTAATGTTTAGAGATGTGAAAATAAACACAGCATATCTTTATCAAAATATGAACAGTCGTGCAGTACTTCTAAGATTACTTAGTTTTCGTTACGGATGTTATTACTGGCCAGTTTCAAGATAAGGAAAAAAATTTTCTTGAAGGTTATTAGATTATCAGTAGGAGCAACGAGTGTGGACTTCATTCAGCACTGTATTGGTTTTGCAACAGGAAGCAGAATATTGTCCAAGTTTTTGCACCGTCCAAGTAATAAAACACGGTAGCATAAGCAGAAGTCGACCCACATGATAGGAACCGGGAATCTCTCATATTGTGAAACTTAACTAAAAAAATATATGCTTTGGAGTAAGTCACCGGGAGTTGAGGAGCCGCCATCTGACGCTGACTATCAGAACAGTTTAAACCTTAACAACCGAGGCTTTACCTTCATCTTATCCAATGCCATACCACTCACCTTCCAGCTCTTCGTCATATAATTGTATCGCAATGTTGCAGCAAACGGAGTGAAACACTACACTATTATGCGAATTGACGGAGCCTGCGTACTCCTGTCGACGAAGAACGATTCCTGTATTGTAATTGCGCCTTTGATTGGATTCACTCGCTTTTGCCGCCATAAGAGCACAGCCGATGGTTTTGCAAGTACTCTT